CTGTCTGTTTGATTGCTGTTATTTTAATCCGCGGTCTATGTGATTACCGTACCAATCAAAATGTGTTGACAGTTACCACTAACAACGTCCAGCACCGCAACCCTTTCCACGTGGAATGTGATGGGAAAAATTCAATTATGGATGCATTGCTTGACTCATACCGATGCGCACAGCTGAGCAATCAGGTTTGGGCAACTGGGGCGATGGGGACTGGATAAGGTTCTCTTTGTATTTGTGTGTGTATTAGTGATTAGATGCATTGCTCGAATGTGCGCCCACATGACCCAGTTTGCTATCGAAACAGATGTCACTTTGCTTGATCACATCAACGGAATGCGTTGAATTGCATTGACCTGAACTAATCAGAAATTGGAACGGGCATGTCAAAAGCTGTTTGCAGTCTCCATACTCCTAAGACTGACTAGGTGATATTCGCCCTTCACGACCGAGGTGTGATATACATAATGTTAATCCAGCGAATTGAGTAATAGGTTCTATTGCTCCCCTCCTGTTCACTTCCATTGTGAGCGATTGTCTCATCTAGCATGGAACGTGAATAATGCACCGATGATCTGTCATTGCCTCCGTCCCCAAAACCCTTCTCCTGGTACTTTCTTGATCCCAATAGATAAAAAAATGAGTCTTCGGTTGTCCTTGTAGGCTTACCCAACAGCGTATCAATCGATTAGTATCAGTACCACCCACATGACCATTCGCAATCGACTTTGACGATTGAGTTGTTACTCTCGCTATCACCGCATGAGTGCGATTCTATCACGGCTGCTTCAAAACCCATGAGGCATGACTATTGCGCGGCATGTCATCCCGCGTTCCCCAACCTTCCCCCACTGCTGAAGAAGAACCAAACACCTATTGAAATCCGAAGCGTCCCATCCGCTGAAATCATTGGATGCCAGGCCGCAAAACCGTATCTTTAATGTGATAGCGATGCTCATACTGAAATGCCTTTTGAACCAAAGTTTTTGAAGCAGGCTCGCGTCGCCCAGTAAATGAGCACACCTAACCGAGAGAGAACCAGACGGATCGAGTCAGTGACCCGATCATCGCAGACGCGTGCATGCACTGTTGTGTTGGTGTCACGATTTGCTCCAAACGTCTCTGTCCGTCCGTCACACAGTCGTGTACAGCACGCTTTTCAGTTTCAATTTGTCCAACCGATAACCATGCACTTTCGTGCGCCGATTATGATTGCTGTCTTACGGCAAAGCGTTTGGATGAAGGGATACACGAAAGAGTGGGAAGTTGGAAGTAGAGTCGAGCAGGAAATGGAGAATTTCAGTAGACTAAAACTGGGAAGAAACGAAAAAGATCCTCGAGCGCCACTGTTGATGACACTCAGGCATACTACTCACTGACTCTAACCATTAACTGCAATGATTAGGATTTTCCCATCCAGGATGCCTAACGCGGTCTGTGTGACCAAGTCTCCTGGTTAGGGTTTCCATACCTTCATGCCAGGTCCTAGTTTTAGCACCTTTGGTTCTTTTCAACCAGCTCGGAAATGTTTAGTGACATGTGCCATACATACCCCAATCAACCTAGTCTATGGAGGTCGACCATTTGCTGTAGTGTGCGACCGCCGGTACTTATAACTGCGTTGAACATAAGTATTACTCATCCGGTTTCCCCACGAGATTCGTGCAATGCTGCGTAGACAGTGGTGTTCGAACACCGACAGTCTATCCAGTATTCTTATTGGCCAAGTTTATATGCCACTATCCTTGCTCGAGAACAGGGCTGTATCCATAGTCAAATGTATAGTGAAGTTAAATAGAAAAAGAGAGAAAGGGTAACCCTGAAGAACACCACTTTCTGTGGTGAGTTGGGACGAAAAATTGCCGTGTACTCGGACTACTTCGACTGTCAGTAGAAAAAGGGATCGCTAAATTGAAATAAACTTCTCGGGCACGTCCTTCAGAGAGGAGTAGCCCCAGAGTTTTCGACTGAGTCGAAGGCCGTTTTAAGATTGAGGAAGACAAAGATGGTGAGTCTACGAAAAGAATGTCGGTGCTCCAGAAGGCTGAAAATATGGTCGCTAAAATCTTGATCAGGTCTGAAACCAGACTGGTTCTCACGCGTGAAATATAACACCCGAGAAATTTAGAGACAATGTTGACTGAAATAATTGCTTTTCCGTTTTCACGAGAGGATCTGTGGCCTTTCTTGTAAATCGATAAAATGATCGATCCATGCCGTTCAGTTGGAACCTGTTCCCTCTCCCATATTGTGTCCAGAATTTTCGACAACTTCAAGACTAACGCTGATCCTCCATCCTTAAAAACCGATAAAAACAATACATTCCACGCGAAGCCTTGTGCCTTTTGGGATAACTGAGTTTCCGGGTAACATCCATTTCAGATAGGGACTGGCATCAACTGAGGGTGTTTGACAGATCGAGGTGAGCGATGTTAGGTCAAATGTCGCTCGTGCGACTTTGACTTTTGATGTTGCCCAACCTTGCCACGAAATATCTGCAAGCGACACTTCGAACTCTTTGGGCTCATATTTCTAATTGCATGGAAAAGAGTGCGGCTATTACCAACAACCGCAGCTTTCTCCATCACTCTGTATTTTGATACCCACTGCTTCTCATGGTGATTACTCAGACTCATGATGAGCTGGCGTTTAAGGAATTTAAACGCTGGCATCTGGACGAAGGTTTCTGCGGGCGTCCAGCAAGGGAGCTGAGGTCGGCCAGATCCATCGTTTGCACTTTGAACCTGCGCCTGAGTCCGACGTTGTTTTTATCGACATTTAGATAACTTCCTTGATTTGCATCCAGCGTTCATTGAGTCCTTCAGCTGAACTGATAGCCCATTGGAGAGCGCCGCTTTGCAACTGTTGCTTAAATTGTATCGTGGCTATCCGTTTCCTTCTGCTTCATTGCGATTTCTTGCCCGACGTAATGAGAATTTTACTTCTTGACAAAGCATGGTCCGTATCCACGGCAGTTGACCATCAGGAGCGGCAGTTATCAATGAATGGATCCTCGCCAGCAGTAGCTGACGGCGATGTGGTTGATTTGAGTTCATAGCTTTGAAGAGGTTAGCGGTCTCCATGTACGGTGGTGTCATTTCTTGTGCGAGAAGTTGGTGCTTGATACAAACCATTCGTGGTCCGAGCAGAGTTGGGGTATACATTCTCCGTTGTTCGTCCGGTTAGCTGAGATTCCATGTGAACCACCAAGAAACCTTTCTGGTTCGAACAGGTACCCCAATTGAGCATTTAAGTCATCAGCGATCACCAGGATGTCCGTTGACCGAGCACTTTGTAACAGATGAGGAAAGTTCTTGTAAAATTTATGCTTCATTTCTGGTTCACTGCGATCGATCGGTACATACATGGATAGGGCGAATAGGCACCGACGCTTCGTTCTGTAGCTGTTGATCCGTGCTGAACCACCCAGACGCACAGCGCATAGTCCGCTACTACCCGGAATCCAGTCAAGAAACGAGCTCTCAGCCTTGGCACTTAGCGCAATCCCAACACCAGCAACACCGTAAGCTTCGGATGCCGAATCGCCTGACAAATGGAGAGTGAAGCGTGAGGATAAAGTTGGATCTGGAGAACGCAGATAGATGATTGAATTAGAGTCTTGTATGTTTGTTTCGGAGACAGCATATATCTGAGTTTTAGGGGTGCTAGCCAAGGCACTTTCTGGACCGATCTCATAGAGTGTGAAGACATTGAACGCGGCTAAGTGAAAAGGAGATTTTGGTTTAAAAATTCCGATAGCTTCTGGTTGGTTGCTTTTACTAATTGAACGCTAAGCAATATCCAACGGATGGTGCAAACAGGAGGCATTTGGTACGATTTGGGTTTGATAGGAAGAACTGAACAGGTGCGAAAGAGGGTTTTCCGAAAGAATATATATATATATATATTAGTTTCACTTATTGCTGCTATTCGTATGTATTGCCTGGTGTGAAGAATTATTATTATTTTCAATTAAATATCCTCATGTGGAATAATAATATCCTTTTTCCCATATTCTACACAACTGTGTACGTATTAGCTTCCTGAATGGTGCAGTTCATACCCTCAAACATTGACCTTACACGCATAAAGTGCGACCCGCAATGGCCCAAGCTTGCCACTTGACCACATCCGGCCGTTCATATGTGCACACCATATTGCAACAGTTCCTGCAAATCCACTCGACACTTACCATCAACCACTTCTCTCGGAAACATATTGCATGCGAGCATATACAGTTCCCCTTATCTGGCGGTCGTGGGTGGTCGGTTGCTACCCAGCTTGTCCGGTGTAACTGGTCTGTACGAATCTCTGCCGAATCGAATTGCACACACCTGCACCCATGCACTGGGTGAATGAAATCCGAGGTGACGTAAATCATGAAAATGTTGTGGATGGCGATGCTGTTTTTGTATTCGATGATGTGGATGATGATCACAACGGGTTTTGTTTTCCTGAAGTGGATATGTTTTGTCCATGAACATGTGCATCAGGGCACAGTTACTCGAATCATTTCTTTATATCAGCTAGTTAGTCGGTCAGCTAGTCCTTTCAGAAAGTAAACTGATTTATCCCCACAGAGTAGTGCAGCGTATGAAATTGCAATCACAAAGCGAGCATCAGGCTTGGTGAATCCAGACCACAAGTCCAGACAATTACCGTCACATGGATCGATATTGACCCTCCCGCAAGCCCTGGAAATAACTGTTCAAACAGCGTGATCATTAAGATCGACTTTCCGACGCATCTCCACCCCGGAAAAAAAGAAAACCATCCTTTTCCTTACCTTTTTTTGAAGCAATTCATTTGAGAATACAGTTCATATCAAAGCGTGGGATGTACCCAAACAATGGGAGTGTGTGTGCACGGAGAAGCTGATTGACATTATGATGATGAGCAGGAGGAGCAGGATTCACAAACTGCCGATAAATAAACGAATCAATCAATCAATATTTTCGAGGCTTGATCCCGCCGATTAGCTAGTGATTCGTGGAATAAAAACAAATGACATTTATGGACAACGCGAATGGTTTATGCTCATCAGGAAATCTTAAATGACGAGGAAGGCGTCTGTTCTCGTCAGTATTACTAATCCCGTCCATGATGTTTGGTTTTTGCAGTTTTAGTCACTTTCAGGCTCTCTACAGCCAGTATGTGCTGGTAACAAATGGGTAAACGGGGACATTAAAAATAATCCTAAATCACGTTTGAATTCTCCGAATAGCTCTAAAGTCGTTGATCATGAACCAGCACATACACAGTGTGTGTGTGTTTGCGTGGAACATTGAACGTACTCTCGAGCAATAGTTTTCAAGTCACTCTTATTTGTAGGACGCAGCTCTGATTCCCAAAGATACGTGGAAGGTGTTCAATGTCAAAAACAACGATACAACTCTACACTCTTCCTCTATGGGATTCGTTGTTGTTGACAGTTTTCAGTTTCAATTTTTACAACCATAATCCATATACACCTTGCGGCTATTTCGGTTGCAGTTTGATGGTTGGGCATTTGAATGAAGCCATAAAAGGAAGATTTGAATGTTCCAATCAATGTGAGGATAAAAATGGAGAATTCCTGAGGACTAATGACACAACGATAGTAAGTAAATGCACGAGCGCCACTCTTTACGACACTCAGCCATATTACTGGTTTTCGCTAAACCCCGATTAATATTTACCGCACAGATTTTTTGTGTACTGAACATCAGATGGGATGAAATTCATAGTCGTGGAAACCAGTGATAGAAACCCGTAACCCAAGCCCCGGGGCTTGGAGTGGTGTTGAACCGGACGACAAGAAAGCTGCCTACCACCACTTACAATGATCCCGAGTTCTCCATCCAGGAAGCCTAACGCTACCTGTGTGATCAAGTCTTTTGGTCTTCATACTCTCGTACCAGGTCTTACTTGAACTGTCCTTTACTTCTTCCATCTACTACCT